GAAGAGCGAAAGCATCAACGTTTCCTCGTACAGATTTGAATCATGTACCATTGCTAATTGCTAACCTGTACCATTGCTAACCACCTGCTAGCCACTCACAGCATGACAGTACGCACAAAATGCTCAGAATCATATGCTCGATTGAGGTATTTATTTAAGGGTGGGATTGTAATAAACATTGACCTACAATAGAGTCACTGTTTCTACATGCATTTTGTTCCCAAATCTGTAGACATCGGTCACGGACACTTAGCCGACGGGACACTTAACCGACACCAGTTAGCCGACATAGACACTTAGCCGACAGGGACACTTAGCCGACATGGACACTTAGCCGACAGGACATTTTGCCGACACGGACACTTAGCCGACAGGATGTTCAGCCGACAAGGACAGTTATCTGACAGGACATTTAGCCGACACGAAACTTAGACGACAGGACATTTAGTCGACAAGGACACTTAGCCGACAGGACACTAAGCCGACACGGACAGTTAGCCGACATGACTTTAAGCCGACAATGAGTCTCGCTCTTCCCAATGGTTTTAAATTTCTGATACTACGGTACTGGTAAAGGGGTATTCCCAATGGTTTTAAATCTCTAATACTGGTACGTGCCAGTTAAACGTCACTGTCGGCTTAGTATCCTGTTGACTAAATGTCTTGAGAGTTAAGTGTCCCGTAGCTAAATGTTCTGACAACTAACTCTCTGTGTCGGCCAAATGTCCTGTAGGCTAAGTGTCCTTGTCGTCTAAATGTCCTGTCGGCTAACTGCTTGTGTCGGCTAAATGTCCTGTCGGCTAACTGTCCGTGTCAGCTAAATGTCCTGTCGGCTAACTGTCCGTGTCGGCTAAATGTCTTATCGGCTAAGTGTCCATGTTGGCTAAATGTCCTGTCGGCTAACTGGTGTCGGTTAAGTGTCCCGTCGGCTAAGTGTCACGGACTCTGTAGACACAGCCCACCAGCGGCCGAACGGTAAAAGCCACCGGACACTGGTAGTTCGGTCCAGGGTTCGAGTCCCTTCGAACGGGCTGGCTGCATGGGCGTTTTCGTGGTTTTCCCCATGTGTAACGTGGATTCGAGCCAGTTTCCCTTAAAAAGACCTCCACGGGACATCCCTAATTTTCCTTGTAGTGCCTAAGGGCGGAGCACGTAGTAAGAAAGAAAATTCCAAATTCTGTAGACACTAAGTTGGAAGCAAATGAAAGCTATTCTGAATTTGATCGGATATGTGGGCAGGACAGCCACCCAGACGGTATAATAGTTCGTGACGCTGATGGTCGTACTGGTGGTCCCGGGTTCGAGCCCAGAGGAGGTATGGATCTTAAAATTCGACAAAACAACAACCTTGTGTTTGGCGTAGACATTAATTAGTTTTTGATTTCATTATTTCCAGTCCAATCATTCCAAACGCTTTTAAAACATTTTATCTTACTTTTCTCGTTTCTTTACTGTTTCATTGGACAGAACGCTTGTTTTAGCTATATCCAGCCTTTGGTTTTGATATAAATAGGTCGTGGCTTCACCCTCCCTTGCAGAAATTTTTGCTCCTGAAGAAGAGGGACCTGCACCAGGTATTATGTTATGTATATCACTCTCTCACTCCTCTAGTACGCATTAACGGTACTTTAAACAGCCAGCGCTACATCTCTGAGGTGTTGGAGCCAGTTGGAGTTCCTTACCTTCAGGGCTTGCCCACAGCCATATTTCAACAGGATAATGCGCGATCACTCGTGGCACGTATTGTCCAAGGCGAATAACTTCTCTGGCCGGCTCGCTGTCCGGATCTTTCGCCGATAGAAAACATGTGTTCCATGGTATCTGAACGATTGGCCCAGATTACATCCCAAACTGCCACACCAGATCCACTTTGGCAACGTGTGGAAGCTGCTTGGTCTGCTGTACCCCAAGAACACATCCAAAGTCTCTCTGAATCAATGTCGAGGCGTGTGGCAGCGGTGATGTCCAACAATGGCGGCTACTCTGGCTACTGATTCTGGAAGGAACCACACTCCACAGAAATCCATAAATTTAACCATTTGATACTTGATCAACATGTTATCTACTTAATAAATTCTCTTGTCTTTCTTGGTGTTGCAATTGGAGTGGCCAGTTGTGTACTTACCATAGACTGCATTCCGAGTCTTTCCTCTCTATAAATTTTAAAGTGTCTCAGTTTTTATCTGGTCACGGTAAATTTGCAAATTACCTGTTTCGTTTTAATCTAAGATCAAATAATTTATGTGAATGTTCAAAAGGAGTGCTTCAGGATGTGTAACATTTGATTTTCTTATGCCCTACATTTGATGGCCCTAAGATTATGCTTACAGGACGATTTGAAAATGTTTGGAGTGACTTGGCCAGTGAACTTATCTGTTTTCGTGAAGTCCAGAATGCTTTTCTCTGCTTTTGTTCGTTTTATTTATGCATGTAACTTTGAATGTTTTAGTTAACTTACTTCTGTAAGCCCCGTGTTGTACATATGTGGTGCACGGGGTGTCTGTATGTTTTCAAAGAAAAACAAATACCTCTGGATATGTTACGAAAAGCCTTTCAATCACACAAATCCCGATGCAGGTTTATAGCATGGTAAAACGGGTATCAGATTGAAAATTGAAAGAAAGTACTGCTTACAGTTTACATATTAATTAAATTGATTTGATTTCGTTCTAGAAATGTGTAAACACCCTTTGTACTTCCATCTCACTAAAGGAAGCTTCTTCCCTCTGCGGGAACACGAGTAATGTCCAGTTTTTCAGCTAATTTTGCATAAATTTAAATTATTTTAGAGGAGTTGGCTCCCATGGGAATGTCGTTAATTTCTTTCTAAATTACATTATAATCTTGGATACAGTTATTAAAAAACTGCATACTTAAGTTAGGTAAGTTTTTTTATTTAACCCAGGGATATTTTATGCACTAAAATTAAGCTCTTAAACCTTTCATTAAGAAGTAATGATGCATAAAAATTTACAGAGGCAAAAAAATTACTATTTTTATATCCTGTTTATTAATAGTTTTAATGCGTTTTTCGTTTTTTTAAAAAATCCGGTAATTATTCTGACTTCTAATGAGTGTTAGTGGCAATATGTGGTTAAACAATTTTAATGAAGCTGCAAAAGAAATCTGGTTGGCATTTTTGAGGTTATTAGTGTTATTATCAATGCGGAGAAATTTAATTGGAATTTTATGAAATTTATTTAAGCATACAGATCTTGTAAGATGTTAAAACTCTTTTTTTTAATTTTTCAGTCATAAATTTCTGCACAATTGCCTTAAATTGATTAATTATTGCAATGTTTAGTGGTGTAAGATGTAATAGTTTTTAATGTGTGATTTTACTGGTTAAGTTCATTGTTTATGAAATCTTTGCAGAAAGCCTTTACACGTGATTAAGATATCGTTTCTAGCTTTATCGATGGTTATGATAATGAATTCTCTAATGGGTTTTTAAGGTCTGGAGGTCGACAAATCTTTTAAGATTAATTTTATAGCTTCCTTATATTTTCTATTTTCTTTCATTTCAATAAAGAAACGCTTCACTAGGGTGACCGTATTTATTTCTACTTTCTTAAATTATATTGTGTTTAATATTATTGTCAATATTATAAATGCAAGCTCGAAAACTGATTTTCTTCCTTAGGCGTAATAAGCCCAGCAGCGGACGAGCGGTAGAGTTGCTGAGAACTGGTAGCTCGGTCTGAAGTTCGAATACTGTGAATGGAACGGGCTGGCTGCATGGGCGTTTTCGTGGTTTTTCCCATGTGAAACGTGTATACAAGCCAGTTTCCTTTAGATATTCCTCCACGAAGGCATCCCTCCTCTTAGGCAGATTGCCGTCGAGTATCTGACATAATCACATAAAACTTTAGTCGGAATTTGGTAGCTTTTTCCGCATTTTTTTAAATTTTAACATTCGATAACAGTAGTTTTGCTTGTAGTTATTATCAGTTAATTCTCTAAATTTAGTTTTCTGACAGATAACGAAGATTTTAATTACTGCTTTTAATCATTAATTATTCAACATTTTTATTACTATATTTTCTATGTGTTTTGTGCGTATTCTCTCCAATCATGAAAAGACTTTATTTCTGTTTGATGGTTTCCATATTCGGTATTTTTAAGTCACAAGGACCCTATTATCTCTCCAATCATACAGCTAATTTTTGGTTAAGATGTAGAGTCATTAGGTTAATTGGAAGCAGAAAAGATGAATATGCAACCGCCTTCGCCGGGAATCGAACCACGGACCTCTGGAATACCGGCCCAGCATGCTACCGTTACACCACGAAGGCACGCTAGGGAAGTGGGAGAAATACCTTATAAAGAAACGCAGGACTTAATTCTTTACTCTCTTCATCTATCATTCCATCAGAGGGACTCGCAGCTCCAGACTTCATTTTCTTCTTCCTTTCTGCATGCCTTCGTGGTGTGACGGTTAGAACACTCGGCGCCTATTCCAGAGGTCCAGGTTCGAGTACCGGCGAGGGCATTGCTCAATTTTTATATTTTCTTCGTCAAAAAATACTAGTGACTCTACAATCACTAAGATATCTCTTACAGTCACTCATGTCTTCTTCAAATAAATCCTAGTGACTTTACAGTGGCACCCGAAATAAAAGGACGGTGGATGATGATCTTTTGGGTTTCCTAATCCCCAGTCGCCATTTAAAAGCATATAAGGTAAGGGAGAATATAAGGTATTTTCTCCCTCCTTTCTTCGTGGTGTACCTGTAGCGTACTCAGCGTGTATTGAAGAAGTCCATGTTTGAGTCCTGGCGAGGACATTGCACATTTTTCTCTTCCCTTGCTTCAAAACATTCCTAGTGAGTCTACATTCATTCCTAGTCAAACATTCCTAGTGAGATATATCATGTGTATTTAATGCCATTATTTACATTGATTCGGTCATATTGCGCTTCGCGAACGAATCACAAATTTCATGGTTCATGCACAGATGACTTGGAAAGGACTGGTGTACAAAAGGAGAATGTACGTACACATCCTTTACATCATCAGCTGTCTTTGTGTTTCCATACACATCCTTTACATCATCATCTGTCTTTGTGTTTCCGTACACATCCTTTACGTTATCGTCTGTCTTTGTGTTTCCGTACACATCCTTTACATCATCATCTGTCTTTGCGTTTCCGTACACATCCTTCACAACATCATCTGTCTTTGTGTTTCTGTACACATCCTTTACATCATCATCTGTCTTTTTGTTTCCGTACACATCCTTTACATCATCATCTGTCTTTGCGTTTCCGAACACATCCTTTACATCATCATCTGTCTTTGCGTTTCCGTACACATCCTTCACATCATTATCTCTTTGTGTTTCCGTACATATCCTTTACGTCATCATCTGTCTTTGTGTTGCCGTACACATCCTTCACATCATCATCTGTCTTTGTGTTTCCATACGCATCCTTTACATCATCATCTGTCTTTGTGTTTCCGTACACATCCTTTGCATCATCATCTGTCTTTGTGTTTCCGTACACATCATTTACATCACCATCTGTCTTTGTGTTTCCATACACATCCTTTACATCATCATCTGTCTTTGTGTTTCCGTACACATCCTTTACATCATCATCTGTCTTTGTGTTTCCGAAGACAGCATATGTGTGGAAGCGGTGTATTTCTTTGACTGCCTAATCGCAAAATATGCGGCCATGCATTCTATGATGGAAAGATTTAATTTCGATGTGTTCTAGAAGTTCTTTTTTAATTGTGACACTGTGTACATCCTTTCCATTAGGCATGTATGCGTTAAATATATACAGTATATATGCGTATTTTTATCTGGGATAATTTTCCGGATTTATTAATGAGTAACATAAGTAACTTTCCACTGAAGAGAAAATGGTCATTAAAACATAGCTTTCTGAAAGAGAATGTTAGGATATGTCTTCACAAAAAACAGTCTTAAATTTTTGGCTTAGGTACATTTCCTACATGCAGCCTCGAATTAGCCATCCTAATGAACTCTTGTGGATGGAATGTATAAGGAAACGATACAAAGTCCACAAATCTCAGCCGAAAGTAATCACCTACCAACGATTCGAAGTTCCGTCTCATTCGCTGTATTCTAGGATTGAGGCCAATTGGGAAGTATTTTGTCGACATTGTGCTCATTTGGATGTCTGGACTGCAGATACAGTCTTCTTTAGGAGCTTATTTACTCGTAGTACCGTTGCTACCAAATTAACGTTTTGCCATTTTTTTTCCATCTGCAAAACTTTTCTGCGGAGGAACTATTTCCCATTTTTTTTATGAATCTATGAAAAGGTCCGAAATATTAGTAAATTTAGTCTTGCTTTGCGCATATTGTCATAGAATAAAAAACATTTTTTACAACTTTTATTTACAGAATTATTACAGAATATTTTTACAGTTTACAAGTGTAAGGTATATCCTAATTTTATAAGAGTTATTTGAAGTTAAAACAACGTTTCTGTCTCTTTTAGCTTCAGCTTACATTTCCTTACCAGAATGAGGTTTTAGAATCGCGTTAAATGCAAATGAGAAGTAGAAAGTATTTAAGTCAAAGTTCCATTGACTTCGAGAGAGAGAGAGTTAGGATTCCTGAATAACGCGCGCTTGCCTTTTGGCTACGTCTTACTACGCTGGGCACGTATTATGTGCCATTGGATAGCTTCGCTAGCTAACTCAATATTACGGGCCAACTAATTTAGAATTTGTGTTAGCTTCGGCTAAATCTCTTTAGTTAGTCATTAGTTAGTTCTTATTTCTTATATTTTTTAATTTAAGCCCGAATGGAGACACTGTTGTACGCCCTGAGAAAGGGGCCACCTGTTAATTTTATTTTTAGCAAAAGGGTAATTAACCCTTTTTGAGTGTACCTTTCGTTTCAAGCAATTATTCGTTGAGCAGTTCGCAAGGTTCCTCGACACATAGTTAATAGATAAAAGGGACTAATATTACATAGTTAAGAATCATTTTGCATGACTCTAGTAAGACTAGAAAACATACAGTAACGAAAGTGCTCTATGATTCTTTAGCTTATTATAATAATATTTACTTATAGTGTTAGACCCGGAGGAGACGGGAATTTGAAAAATGCACTTTTTAATTCTCTGGGTTATTTTTAGTTATGTACTCATCAATACATGATAGTGTCTTACATCGTTAAACATAAATATCCCTCTGAAGGATAACAAATTCGGAACGCTGTCAACTTGCGTATAAAATTCCTTTATATTAAATATTTTTAAAAAGTTAACTATTCAAGGCATTTTTACTTCCTTGTACGAAATAAAAAGTAAGTATTATAATCGCGAAAAGTTTCAGGCAGCATATTTCAAAGAAAATATCCATTTTGACCGCTATCAAATACAATTTAACGATGTTTTTGCATGATATCTCTACGTAAGGACAAAATAAAAGACTCGTTTCCTCCAAAAAAATTATAAAACTGCTTTAAAATGAATTCTGAAGAGAATTTTTCGTGGCGTCTGTACGAACGTGTGTACGTACGTACGTATCTCGCATAACTCAAAATCGAGTACCCTCAGAACGTTGAAATTTTGTATATACAACTGCTATAACATGTAGATGGGCACCTCGTATTTTGATTGCAATCGGCCGCACCAAACGTATATAAATATATTTATATATATATATCCACTCTGTTACCCGGCTCAGTGATCTCAGTTTCTTTACTCGAATAAGTTTGTAAATTGTACATTCTTTGCTTTAAAAATGATTGAATTATGTTGTTTTTATCTTCCGGTTAAGGTTTTCATGCCTTTAGTAAATCTGTATGCAATATTGTTAGAATTATCAACAATTTTAAGTTGTTGCCGCTAGGCCTTTTCTTTGATGGCGGCCATTGATTGTTTACATTTGAAACAGCAGAGTAGTGAATTTGTTGCCAATCTAGAGAAACTTAGCTACGCAACAACAAAGATAAAGCCTTCATTTATTATTGCCAATTAAATCATGCTTAATCCTTTCTGGAATTTTTTCGAGGAAATATGTGTTTTATATTTACTTCGGAATTTTTAATATAGAGATATTTTAAGTTTTTATGTATTTTTGCCTTCTCGGGAAGTGAGAACTGAATTAATTGAATGAGAAATACTCAATCGTCTGTGAAAAACTGTTTCTTTTTCTTTTTTTGTTTTGTTTGCTTAATTTCTTTTATACATCGTTCTAGCTTTATTATAGTATTTGAATAGAACATGTGGCAACGATTAGATAATTCTTTAAATGATATAAATTTTGTGCATTCTGAGTTATAATATGAACGAAATATAGTACTGTTAAGTGAACCTAGCGCCAGAGTGTCGCTATGGTAAACAAATACTAGAGTGAACTTTAAATAATGCATTTATTCTATTGTGGTTTATGCGCTGTCGGCGAAGTAGGTTTAATTCAATCCAATAAGATAAATGAAATGCAAGAAAAAATGCGTATAATTTAATATTCCGTACAAGGAAGTCATGTGGTGTACACATCAGATTTTTTATTTTCTAACGTTGTTAAGAAACATTACTAAAAATATTTTATACCTGCATAATTTAATTTAAAACTATTTGTCGCTGAAAAAATGTTGCCGAAAAAATTGGATTTTCTTTCGAAGGGAATTCAGGAATATGAGTGGTTCTTCCAGGACCAAATATTGAATCGAAATTTTGCAGTCATTAGTCCAAAGGGGCTTTGTTTTCGGTTTTCGATTTTGCGCTGATTCACTATAAATGTCCGTTTCACTTTTCAAACTGTTGCCACCCAATGTTAGAGTCCTGCATTTTATTTGATGGAATTAAATAATGAGGAATCTGCATAAATGTATGTATGTTTCTCGCATTGTGATAAAACAACGGTGCCTAGAGCCATCGAATTTTGAATGACGTAATCCTCCTACGAATATTGGCATGTGGCAGACCAAGTTTGAAATTTTAAATTCGTTTTTATTATCCGTTTCATATTTGTAAAACTTTAACGAATATTTGAGTAAAAATCTCAGTGATTTGAAAGCGAGCAATGGCAATACTCTACGGAGGAAAAAAAAGCCTTTTTATCTTTAGTGCGCGAAACTCTGTATCGGAAATTCTAAAGATAAGCTCACTTTAAAATTATTTCGCAACATTGCTATTAAACTGAATTTTATGGTGTAGGTGCAAAGAACATGATATTTAATAAATAAAGGTAACACACAAAACGTTAAAAAACGCCCTTTTGGACGTAATTTAAAATCTGAAACCTTATAAGGTATTCCTCCCACTTTCCTAGCGTGCCTTCGTGGTGTAGTGGATCTGCACCCTGGGCCGGTATTCCAGAAGTCCGTGGTTCGATTCCCGGCGAAGGCAGTTGCTAATTTTTCAACTCTTCTGCTTCCAAAAAAATTACCTAATGTCTCTACAGTGGCGCTCGAACTAATAGGGTGTTGGATGAGGTTTGTCCACACCCAGAATTTAGCGATTGGGTCCCCTGAAAACCCTAGTCGCCCTTTAAAAAGGGGAGTATATAAGGTATTCCTCCCACTTTCCTAGCGTGCATTCGTGGGGTAGTGGTTCTGAGCGCTGGGCCGGTACTTTCGCATATGTGTTTAACCACTTGAAACTTTCGTATAGAAATCACGCTCTAAATTTAGCATATTCCACTTCTTCCGTTTTAGAAATATTGCGATGTAAATCGCTTTTGCATAATTAAGTTATAGAGAAGTAGGAAATATAAAAGAACTAGTTCCTAACAAAGTAGCTTCCTTTAGCCTCTGAATATACTATACTAAGTCATCTTTAACCTAATATGAGAAACCACAAAAAACCTATTACTACAATAAAGATGATCTGATTACAATATACTTGGGAAAACTATACCTTAGCCCAGGGTTCTTAAACTTTTTTCAGTTGTTACCCCAATTTATCACTGAGATGCTTTTCGTGACCCGAGGACCCTATAATATTTATGAAACGTTTGTGGGACCCTTTGAGCATTGTTCAAATCCGATACACGCGTGAGTGTAACCGTCAGTTTTTTTCACTTATATATTACAGTAGAAGTTTTAGGTCACTAATTTCGAATTTTAAGACATAGAACAATGTGAAAATTTTAAATAAGTAACAGATGAAATGACAGTGTCACGTGCAAAGCAAGTAAAATGAACATTTATATTATAAAAAGAATGCGTGGAAACGTTTTTAGTCCAAAGGGATTTGAATTCCGAAGGACTATTAGTTTCGTTTTGGCATTTTGCGTCGGACGGATAAATGTCGGTTCACTTTTCAAACTGTTGCCATAAAATGTTAGAGTCCTGCATTATATTTGAAGAAATTAAATAATGAAAATCTGCATAAATGTATGTATATTTCTCGTATTGTGATAAAACAACGGTACATAGAGTCATCGAATTTTGAATAACGTAATCCTCCAACGAATATGAGCATGTGGAAGACCAAATTTGAAATTTGAAATTTGTTTTATGATCGATTTCCTATTTTTTAAAACTTTGACGAATTTTTGATTAACAAACTCAAGGATTTCAAAGCGAGCAATGGCAACGTTGTGCAGAAAAAACATTTTTATCTCCAGCGCGTGAGTCTCTGTATCGGAAATTCTAAAGATATGCTCGTTTTAAAACTATTTTGCGATATTGCTGTTGCACTGGATCTTATGGTTTAAGTGCGAGGAACATGATATTTAATATAAAGAAAGGTAACACACAAAATGTTAAAAAACGCCCATTTGGACGTATTTAAAATCTGAAACATTTCAGATTTTTTTTATTTCTTTTTATTTTATTTATTTTTTTTCTTAGTCTATATTATCTTATCTTTATCTATTTTCAGATACATTGCATACAAACATTTGGTAATTGTAAAATGATTATAAGTTAAAGAAATATCAAAACTGCTAAACGTTTTGGCGATCCCCTTCAGCAGGTCCAGCGACCCCCAAGGGGGTCGCGACCAACGTTTAAGGGGGCTCATACACCTTAAACCTCTCATGATCTTCGAATATGGGACTGTTGCAAGAATTGGGATATATTATTTATTTTAAAAGCAATTACTTCCAACATTTTTCAGCTGACTACATAATATAGCTGCTTTGGAAACTAGTAACCAAAAAGTTTGTGTTGCCACAAATATTTTTCTAATTTAATC